AAACTTCTTTCCATTAATCATCTGAGAGACCACTCTATGCCTTCCATTGAAATGGTTAATGCTAGCCTTCAAGAAAGTGATGCATTGCGCGTTCTCGGGCTAACAATTTAAGCTGACATGAGGTGGAAAGACTTCATTGAATCCATCTCTAGATCTGTTGATAAGAATGTCTGTTCACTGGGCCGAGCAAGACAATTTTTCACTCCAGAATCAATTTTGCATATCTATAAGTCTACCATTCGTTCATGCTTAGAATATTTGCTACTATATATGGTCTGGTGCCCCTGCTATTTACATGAAGTTCCTTGAGAAGATCCAAAGAAGAATTAGCAATCTTAATGGTCCTGACCTATCAGCTCAGCTTCAGTCACTTGCCCACCACCCTAAGGTTGCCTCTCTGTGCCTTTTTATAAATACTTTCATGGTAATTCTTCAGATAAACTCTTTTCTGTGGTACTTAGAATGCATGTATTTAAACGCAATACTAGACCAGTGGTGAGATTGTATCAATTTACAGCTGAGCTAGCTAGAGGTAGCTGGAACTTCTATACTGACAGTTTCATATCTTGCACTTCTCACTTGTGGAACTCCCTTCTGGCTCCATGCTTTCCAGCCATCTTTAATCTTCAAATATTTAAATGCAATGTCAATCGCTATTTACTGTTCTCTTGATTACTCTTTCCTCCTCCTGCTCATTATTAATGTTTCTCTTCCTAATTCTTCCACACCCGGTAATCTGTTGCTTGCTAGGGGCTTTACTGCATTCCTTGGGGATGATATGAATTAAAAAAAAATTTTTTTAAATCAAATCTGTTTTGGTCATTTCATGCTTCAATTTCCTTGCAAAAGGCATGAAACCATCTTCCTTGTAAAATGGATTAAGTAGAAGAAGAGATTTAATTCTTTTGCCTTGGGTTGCAGCATGTATTGGATGAGAAATTAATTCAAACTGTAATCTTTTCATAAGAGGGGGGGTCAGCTTGAAAGTGTATGCACTTTGCCGAGGCTTTGCTGTTACTCAGAGCAGATAAAACTTTGTGATAACAGAACTTAAGTAAAATTTGTTTGGAATCTTTTTTCAGGACAGTCCATGTTCATATATATATATATATATATATATATATATATATATATATATATATATATATATATATATAGTATAATAATAAATCCGTTGTTAAATAATCCAAGTGATATCTTTTTAATTTTTTAAAATTTTTTTTGTTTTTTAACTATAACTTGCTATGATTTGGTTTTCTTAATTTAACTCATTTTTAAAGTTATAAATGTATAATTTACTTTATCTTTAAATTTTTTATTCTTTAATTCAAAGTTTCTTTAAATATATTCTTATTATATATTTTGTAAATTGTGTTAATATATCTCATTTGTAAGTATTATTTGTTATTTTTTAAATAGAAACCTAACTTTTTTAAGTGAAAACCTACCTTTTTAAGTGAAAACCTAACTTTTTTAAGGGAAAACCTAACTTTTTTAAGGGAAAACTTAACTTTTTTACATATAATTAAAAAATTTTTTTTAATATATAAAACTCCCTTTTTGGCCCATTTTTTAGTTTCAGCTTAACACCTTATTCTTCCTGTAGCCCTAATTTATGGTCAAAGGTTAATATCCAGGTTGATTTTTGTGTAGTCTCTTCCCTTTAAGACTGATAGCTTCTGCCTGCCCCTACAATATATCCCAAAACGGCATTTTACTTGGCTGAGGTGTTGAATTGGGTAGGTACTGTATCAAATTTTTTGACTGTGAATCAAAGTTAAATTTAAAATCTTTAATTCTGACACTAAACACAGTATATACACTGGAATTGAATAAGACTAATGTACTTTGCATTGGTTGAAATAGATCTGTAATCATGTGAGGTAATTTGAGATTTTGTTGTGTAATATATGTATATGTATATATATATATATATATATATATATATATATAAATATAATCTTAAGGTGTGCTATATTTATGGGATAAAGTGCTCAATATCAGAGATAGAATGTGTGTAACAACAAGAAACATTGAAGTCAACATTAATAGACAGGCTGTTTCATGCAAGAAACAATCGTCAGGCCTTAAGTCTATATGAAACAACCTGTTGCCTCTAAGTGTTGACTTCAATGTTACAGATATTTTATATATATATATATATAAGATTTTTAAGTTTATACATTCTTTTATAGATACAAATATTTAAGTAAATGCTCTGTTTTTGTAATAAACAGTATTAAACAACATTCACCAGCCTGAATGTCCAAGAAATTTTCATAGAAAATATTTGTCCTCCAACAGGAATTGAACCTGTATCCTATACAGAAACTGTCATATAGCCTGATGTGCCTTTAACTGATTTAGCCACAGAGGACCGTTTCGGTTAGCAAGGTCGATTTTACTGTTTTAAACTTTTTCTTCCATTAATCTCTCACGTACATTCATATTTGCTCGATGGTGTATCCAAATGTAAACAAATGACGTCACACATTATGAAATGGACAAAAGTCCAACAATTATTTTAAGACATTTTGGTGTTTATACATTCTTTTTATAGATACAAATATTTCAAAATTTTGCTCAGTTTACAATAAACAATATTAAACAACATTTATTCTGAATTTGGAGGACGAATATTTTTTGAAAATTTCTTTTTTTTTTCAGGCCATAAAAACTTATATAATACTGTTTATTATAAACAGAGCATTTATGCATTATAATAAATAATGTATTAACAGAAAAGAATGTTTAATTTTCTTATTTATGATCTTTCTATATATATATATATAAATGATATACTCTTCATTTATATATCTTGGGAATTTATATATATATATATATATATATATATATATTATAAATTCCCAATTATCATAGAATCATCAACTCAATGTCCAGGACAGAGTAAAAATATAAGATAAAATGCTCAAACACTATAATTAATAAAACATGCATATATATATATATATATATAATTTCACTATATTTGCTGCCCAAAATTCATTCAAAAATCAGAAGACTCATACATTAATTGTTTTTATCACTTGACTTAAAATATTTTGGCCCTTCCTTGCCTTTAAAGGAGTGCCCTTTTGCCATGCTGATGTTGCTACATGACTTACTTCTTCCTATCTCACATTACAAATTTTTCTAATCTATACTACTAAACATTAAATCTGTTACAAAAAAAACACTAAACAAAATGAACACAAAAACGATCAGCTTTAAAAAAAACTTGTAACTGGAAAACCGAATGAAAAAAAAAAAAATGTTAACAACAAATACTTTTTCACATTATACAACCCAGTTCTCTTAAATCAGAATCAATGCGTTGAGTTTAAACAATTACAATGAGCCAATTGGAGTAAAGTGCCATGCAGATTTAAATTTTTCCCACTTGTGACGAATGCAGCTATCGATTTTTTTTTTTTTGCTAGCATACTAATTAACATTCGTGTCAGTCATGTGTTGGCTCTCACATGGCCAATATTTTTCCTGCCTATTTGTGGCAGTCAGCTATAAAGCAATTTTTCTGGCCAGTAGAAAATGACCAAAAACTACATGAAAACTGCTCGTAGAAGCATGAAAAAATTGATTATTTCCATTATCGATGGGGTTGGGAAATGCAAAAATCGGTCTTGGCCTTCCCAAAGGATTGGAAATGTGCATGTAAATTTTGGTGCAAAAAACACAAAATTTAAAATTATTTTTTATTCTTATATATATATATATATATATATATATATATATATATATATATATATATATATATATTTATCATTTATTATTTTTATGATATTTGTATTACTTAATTTTATTTTTAGTGGATACCCATAATTGATGGTTTTTGTCCATTTATTTATTAAACAGTATATATATGACTATTCATCCAATATTGCTGGTCTATTGTTTCTATATATTAAAATGTCATTTTGATCAAAAGAATCTGCAATATTATTAGTCCTGACCTGGCATCTCAACCAGTCTTTTCCCATTGCTTATTCACAAAGTTTCCTTAAATGTCATTTCTATATATATTTCCATGGTATTTGTTCTGATGAACTTTCCTCATCATATTAAAGCTTAAATGGCTAGATGTAATCTATGCTGTCAGTGTCTTCTCATGCACTTCTCGCTTTCCAGTCAAATTTTATCTACAAAAATTTAAGTGCAATGTCAGTCATTATCTTATGTCTTCTGAATTTTTGTCATTTTATTATTCTCTCCCCATTTTTTCTCATATTCTATCGCTCAATTAATTTTTGCATCTTAGTTGATAGAATTGGTTTGCATTTCCAAATGATAAAAAAAAAGTTTACTAGCCTGAATATTAAAGAAAAATATACACTTGTTCATATCTGTCATTGAGCCTGTTATCCATTTTTTCCTAAATTTCAGATGCAACATGCTATAAACCAAATTGACTTACAGCGTGTGTCGCTAATCAAGCAAATTTGAAGAGAGACTTATAAACGGAAATCTTTCTCATATTCTTGAATCATTCCAACCAGCTGAGTTTCATAAACAAACCAATTTCCAAAGAAGTGATGGATTTTTATCTGTTAATAAAACAGATTTTATTAAACATTATTTTTACAGAATACGTGTAATTTCTAATATGCAAAAGATTTTAAGATATTTCAATTGCATTCGTGTATGCTTTATATATATATATATATATATATATATATAATATATATATATATATAATAAATTAATTGATACAAAAATATATATCATACTGTTCTTTCTTTTTTTACTATAAAATATGCATATGCATATATATATATATATATATATATATATATATAAAGATAGATGTTAATGTTGGCCTTCATGTACTTTGTTAATTTGATATTGCTCTCAGAATTCTCACCTGCTATAATTAAAATTCTTTTCATTTTGTTGACCTTTTAATTAAAATTACCTGAACAATTTCTGCTTTAATTATGTGCAGATATATGACATTTGACGCATAACTTTTGCCTGAAGTCAAGATCTTTCACTTTCTCACTTTTTCTATCTCTCTCTTTGCATCTATCTATCTATCTATCTTTCTATCTATCTATCTATCTTTCTATCTATCTATCTATCTATCTATCTATCTATCTATCTATCTTAGTCTGTTCATTATCTATCTATCTATCTATCTATCTATCTATCTATCTATCTATCTATCTCAGTCTGAACATTATTGATCTATCTATATCTATCTATCTATCTAAATTAGTCTTTTCTATCTTTCTATCTATTTATCTATCTATCTTATCTGGTACATCTATCTACATACCTACCTATTCATCTATCTATCTATCTATCTATCTATCTAATCCTGGTATTTATCTATCTATCTCAAGTCTTTTTTTTCTATTTCAGTTTTCATATCTATCAGTCTTTTTTCTATCTATCTATCTATCTATCTATCTATCTATCTCAGTCTGAACATTATCTATCTATCTATCTATCTATCTATCTATCTATCTATCTATCTATCTATCTCAGTCTTTTCTATCTATCTATCTATCTATCTATCTATCTATCTATCTATCTCAGTCTTTTCTATCTATCTATCTATCTATCTATCTATCTATCTATCTATCTATCTATCTATCTTTTGCTTCCCCTCTATCTCTTCCCCCTCTCTCTTCCCCCTCTCTCTCCTCTTTCCTCCTTTCTGTCTATCTATCATTTTATAGAATTAAATTATATATATTTCATTTGAAAGAACAATTATTTTCATTTTATGAGAAAAATCACTCTTCTGCTTTTACTCTTGTCTTTTTTACTTGACAAAGGAATGTTTTTATATAAATCTAAAATATCAGGAATTCCCTGTGGTTCTCTGAGAAGTCTTCAAGTCTTCAGTCTTCAGCTTGAGGCTGATGCCATTTCTTACCCATTAGCATTTCTTTATTGACTGGCAGAGTATTTCAATGGCTTTAACAAGTGGATATCATTCACAGACATCAGCTTCATATTGAATAAAAGTGTTATCTTTGGAATTGATATTTTTATTTTACCATTTTATTGAAAAAAGACCAGTTGACTTGAAAACATTTCTTTTCACTCAATATCCTGACAAAGTGCAGGTATGATATTGAAACATCATCATAAGAAAAAATTTATTGTTAGAAAGAAATGACTTTTGTTCATGGAAACAAAATAATCATTAACATTGCAGGCTATAAAAACGAACATTAATAAAATGCAGCCAGCGGTAGGATTTGAACTTGAAGTTCAATTGATAAAATCCAATTTATACTGAACACATTTCTGTAAAAAAATTCCAAACACATGTTATTTGTTGTCATGGAATTATTTATCTATTTGGGCAGAAGTAGAAGACTGGAATAGAGTCGTTGCTATTCTTCGTTCGTTCTTTCTTTCTTTCTTTCCCATTTTTCTTTCTTTTTTTCTTCTCATCTTTTCTTTCTTTCTTTTTTCCCATTTTCTTTCTTTCTTTCTTTCCCATTTTTCTTTCTTTTTTTCCCATTTTTCATTCTTTTTTCTTATCTTTCTTTCTTTCTTTCTTTCTTTCTTTCTTTCTTTCTTTCTTATTAAGATTTAAAAACTGAGGAATTTTTCAAAGTTTCTTTCATCATGAAAAATTTCATAAACAAAAACAAATTATAATTTTGAAATCTTCCTTCACACACAGGGTACATACATATTGGACATACTTTTAAGCTGATGAAAACAGGGTATCTCAATTTTCATAACACAAAAAATATTTTAAAAAATATATATATATATATATATATATATATATATATATATAATTTATTGCACATATAATGTTGGTGTTACAGGGAGTATCAAAAATACATTTACAAACATTGTGGGCATGTTCTCCTCATTAAAACAAGGACAAATGCCCATTTTAAGTAAGACAAACTCTCTACAAATGTACACAAATAATAAATGCGACCTAGTCTACATAGCAACACACCATCTACTGAAAAATTTCTTTAAATATAATGACACACAATTAAGGATTAAAGATATATTTATATGAACTTTTGTCCTTATTTTAGTGTGACAAACCTATCCCCAGTGTTTGTAAAATTATTTTTTTTTGGCATATATATATATATATATATATATATATATATATATATATAGACACAACACAGTTGAAAAGTTTGAAACCACCCACAGAATTAGCATGGGATGTACTTGAGAAAAGAGTTAAAAACCATGGTAAAGAATTCTTAGAGTCATTGAAAAAAAGAATGGAATCAATTATCAAACTTATACTTTGAGAAGTTTTTGCAATGAATGCCAAAAATTTGTTGTGCAGTATTCAAGGTTGAAGGAGGCTATTTTGACGAGAGCAAAGTTTAATCATAGAATGTTTTTTTTCTTTTTAATAAAATTTCTAATAAAAAATCAGGTCTCACTATTTTTAACCATGTATAATAATTTTCTCTAATTTAAAGTACAAAACAACTTTTTTGGGGCCAATTAAAAAAATTACCAGGAGTTTTGAACTGTAATGTGTATATATATATATATATATATATATATTAAAAAACTATTTTCTTTTTTTGTGCAGTATTTAGTGGAAATTGCTCATTATCAGTGATAGAATGAACATATTGAATTGTATGGGCATAAGTTTGTAGGCCTGGTTTTCATGTTTTTGCAATCATCAGACAAACTGGTTTATTTTTGTAATATATATATATATATATATATATATATATATATATATCAAATGAAAAAATCTGTGGGTAAGTAATGCAAGTAGATCCTATTAATATAAAATATTAAAGCTGTTCCAGAAAAGAGAGCTGAATATAATTTTTATTATAGAACATATAAGTGAATTATAATTAATGAAATCCAAACAATTTCCCTCATGCAGATGATCAGTTTGTAGATGGGAAAGGAGAATTTCTCTGGACTTATCAATGCAAATACATTTACTAAAATAAATAAATTCTTACAAAGGAAGGAAAGAAGAGAAAAAGAAAAAAAGAAAAAAATAAAAGGAGGGTAGTAAGAAAAATTTTTTAATAGAGGAGGGAGTTATATAAATAAAAGGTTAAGGGACCTAAAAAATGATTGTGGTGGAGTCCACTATATATAAGGTTTCCTGAATTGTTGGCCAACTCTTATATATATATATTTTATATATTTCATTTTTTAAAATTTCACTTTTTCCTTCCTTTATCTTTCAAATTTCCTGTGAAGAAATGTAAGAATTTATTTATTTTAACAATGTATTTGCATTGATAATTCCAGGGAACTCTCATATATATATTTATTTATCTATCTATCTATCTATCTATCTATCTATCTATCTATCACTCTCTCTCTCTCTCTATATATATATATATATATATATATATATATGTATGTATATATATATATATATATATATATATATATATATTTTATGTACACCTAGACTTGCAAACAAACCTACCTTGGTTTCACCTAAATGGATCGTCAGGAAAATAAGGCTTTTTTTTCCTGACGATCCGCTTAAATGAAACCTAGGTAGGTTTGTCTGGCTCACTAGGGAGTATCTAGGTCTGCTCTACAGTTGTACTGAGCGCTTTTGTTAGTTGTTTACTTGTATCGGAGTTTCTTCTTTGGGCTTCAGACCTACATCTGTGTGATTGTTTTGTTGGCAGAAGTTCATGTTTGTAGCTCTTTCTTTTTTAAAACCTTTATTTTCCCTCGAGATTGATTTGATTATTAGAAAATCAAAAATTCGAGGCTTTTTTCCTAAAACAGTATAGTTATCTATATTTGTATGTATATATATATATATATATATATATAAAAACTCATATAAATATATATATATATATAAAAAACTCATATATATATATATATATTTATATATATATGTATATATATATATATATATATAAAAATATATATATATATATATATATATATATGTATATAAAACTATATATATATATATGTATACATATACATATTTGTGTACACATACAGATATATATACAGATTCAAAAACTACAATTTCATAGCATAACAAAACAGTATGTACATATATCTAGGATATACTTATCAGATGCTTTTGGATGGGTTTACTTGTGCATCATCATATATATATATATATATATATATATATATATATATATATATAAAAACAAAAGAGAAACTTTTCATAGTCTATGTGTTTATCTTGTGAATGTCTTTATCAAGTCAAACACAATGATTTCATTTTGTATGCAACAAGTATTTATAAATAGAAGGAAAAAGTCATTAGATTTTCCAAATTTTTAAATTTAAGAAATGTCATTAATATATCTCTAACTGAAATGAAAGTGAGTAAATTTTGTTTAACTTTTTTTTAATAAGATAATTTTTATTTATATTATTTTACTTTGAGAACTCCTTCAAATTTAAAACATTTTCTATTTCTTAAAATATGTACTGTATTTACCGGTTTACTGGACGTGGATTTTTGTAGAAAAATGCACCAAAAAAATTACCCTGAATCCACTACAGCAGTATCTTGTATAAGAGGGTCATGAAGAGCATGAAAAAAGTGGGATTCACCAGGAATCAGTGCACATATAAAGCTTAGCTCTGAAAATAGGACTCCTGGAAATGAACAAACATAATATCAATAAAAAAATATCCCTGAAAAATTCACCAAGGAAAAAGAAATTAAGAAATTTATGGAATTGCACAATATATTACTGCTTGTTTTGTAGAAATACCAGATTTTACAGAATTATTTGCTTTGACTGGTTTATTGCTGATTGCTTTGTGTGTGTTTTTGTTGATATACAGGTACTGGAATTTGCTTTTCTGCATGTCTGGTATAGCACTTCATTTACCGACAACTATCATATTTCTGTTTCTATACTTATTACCATAGATACTAGTGTTCACTGATACCAATAGATTTCTTTGTGGCTATTATGAATTTACAGTATGTGCAGTTTTTAATCTCCTGAAAAATAACTAAAACAATTTTCAATAAATGATTGATGAAATAGAAAAAAAAATTTCTTCTTTTCCCAAAAGTGTCCACGTAATTAGTCCATATGCCACTTCTATAAAAAAAAAAAAGTAAGTCGTATAACTTGTGCTAATGCTATAAGTGCTCCTTCATGATTAGTGAGAATGTCACATAAAAGTAAGGTTATCATTTTGATATTTTTGGTTGTGACGCATGCATTTTTTTTTCCCTAAATATTCCATGCCAAAATCTGGGTGTGTCCAATGCATTGGGTGCATGCAATAGGCTGGCAAATATGGTAATACATAAATTATCTGTAACTTTCTTGGTGCTATACATACACAAACACACACACGTACATATATGTATACACACAAATACACACACATATATATGTATAAATATATATATATATATATATATATATATATATATATATATATATATAATATATATATATATATATATATATATATATATATATATATATATAGTATAGATTGGTGGATATGGAATAAATTCAATAATAAAAAAATACTATTCTTAAAAGAGTGCTCAATACAGAGTAGAACAAATATAATTATTTATTTGAAAATTCACCTAGCGAGGGATGGTTGATTGATTTAAACCTTTTAAAACCCTTTAATCTACATTCAACACCATCACTTGATTAGAAACCAGAAGTGTTGAAACAAAATGACTATTTTTGTAGTGATTTTATAACCTGTTTATGTTATAATTTTC